ACTCTGACGCACGACCGTGGCTGGGTTTCATAGGTAACCACGTGCACAGTCTGGTGTATAACGGAGGCCAGAGAATGTCTCCTGACTAGCCCTGTGCTGAACGTATCAACTCACATTTGGCCAAAGCATCTTCCAGATGGAATCCACTCTTATCATAGAATCATAGAATAATAGGACTGGAAGGGACCTCGAGAGGTCATCGAGTCCAGCCCCCCGCCCTCAAGGCAGGATCAAGCTCCGTCTACACCATCCCTGACAGATGTCTATCTAACCTGTTCTTAAATATCTCCAGAGAGGGAGATTCCACCACCTCCCTTGGCAATTTATTCCAATATTTGACCACCCTGACAGTTAGGAATTTTTTCCTAATGTCCAATCTAAACCTCCCCTGCTGCACTTTAAGCCCATTACTCCTTGTCCTGTCCTCAGAAACCAAGAGGAACAAATTTTCTCCTTCCTCCTTGTGACACCCTTTTAGATATTTGAAAACCGCTATCATGTCCCCCCTTAATCTTCTTTTTTCCAAACTAAACAAGCCCAGTTCATGAAGCCTGGCTTCATAGGTCATGTTCTCTAAACCTTTAATCATTCTTGTTGCTCTTCTCTGTACCCTTTCCAATTTCTCCACATCTTTCTTGAAATGTGGCGCCCAGAACTGGACACAGTACTCCAGCTGAGGCCTAACTAGTGCAGAGTAGAGCGGCAGAATGACTTCACGAGTTTTGCTTACAACACACCTGTTGATACAACCTAGAATCATATTTGCTTTTTTTGCAACAGCATCACACTGTTGACTCATATTCAACTTGTGGTCCACTATGACCCCTAGATCCCTTTCCGCCATGCTCCTTCCTAGACAGTCGCTTCCCATCTTGTATGTATGGAACTGATTGTTCCTTCCTAAGTGGAGCACTTTGCATTTCTCTTTATTAAACCTCATCCTGTTTACCTCTGACCATTTCTCTAACTTGCTAAGGTCATTTTGAATTATGTCCCTATCCTCCAAAGAAGTTGCAACCCCACCCAGTTTGGTATCATCTGCAAACTTAATAAGCGTACTCTCTATCCCAATATCTACATCATTGATGAAGATATTGAACAGTACGGGTCCCAAAACAGACCCTTGCGGAACTCCACTTGTTATCCCTTTCCAGCAGGATTTAGCACCGTTAACAACAACTCTCTGACTACGGTTATCCAGCCAATTATGCACCCACTTTATCGTGGCCCTATCTAAGTTATATTTGCCTAGTTTATCAATAAGAATATCATGCGAGACTGTATCAAATGCCTTACTAAAGTCTAGGTATATGACATCCACCGCTTCTCCCTTATCCACAAGGCTTGTTATCTTATCAAAGAAAGCTATCAGATTAGTTTGGCATGACTTGTTCTTCATAAACCCATGCTGGCTATTCCCTATCACTTTATTACCTTCCAAGTGTTTGCATATGATTTCCTTAATTACCTGCTCCATTATCTTCCCTGGGACAGACGTTAAACTGACCGGTCTATAGTTTCCTGGGTTGTTCTTATTATAGATGCATGTAGACATGCCTGATCTACATGTTTGTTAGCCTTTAAAGTGCTACCAGATTATTGTTTTTTAGGTTTTTCCCTTTGTTATAAAGTATCTTTTCTTTAAAAAAAAAAAAATGTAACCCCAATGCACTCACCCCTGCCCCAGCGCCAGGCACCCTCCATTCCAATGCAACTGTAGGTAAATCTCATTAATCTCTGTATTAATCATTTTCTCATTGAATTTTATTTTAACTTTGTATCAAGTCCTTTTAATTTTATAAGTCTGTAGTTTGTTGTATTGAGTCCTTTTATAGAAACTTTGTATACTTTTACAGAACATAGAAACTTTATATTAAGCCTTTTTAGATAGAAACCTTGTATCTTGTAGACTTTGTACACCCCTCACCCCAGCTAAACTGATTTCCCTGTTGAGTGAATGAGGTGTGAATGGATAAGGCATGAAAGAAAAGCACCTCTGGGCACTTGCAATGGTTGGAGAAAGGTGGAAGCCCTATTCAAGAACTATAAGAACAATGGGACCTGTTAAGTGGGCTCATTGAAAGAAGACTGGACCTATGGATGCCTTGGGAGTAAGCAGCAAGCCCCTGCTTTTGGAAGGTCCCTCTTTGAAGGTGAATGGGGGAGCATTAAAACAACACCCAGAAGAAGGTGCCACAGAGGAATAACTGCATGTGCATATGATGACTCTCTGCATGAGAGGGAAGACACTATACATCTCTAAGGCATCTTGCAGTCAACATGGGAGCATTGATCTGGCTCCAACCCTCCCCCAAACTAACTAATCTGGCCAGCAGTTAGGTGCAACAACTATTGGTAAAAACAAGACATGGTGTGTGTGTGTGCTGTATTATATGCATATAAGTGTTGACTGCTATATGTGTGTATTACCAATAAATGTGGCATTTTGCCTTTTCCCCAAAAAAGATCCCATGCAGTACTTTTAAGTACAACACAACCATCCCTGCCCCAAAGCCATCCCCCCATGCACTCACCCCTCCTCCCCCAGAGCAAGGCACCTGCCCAGTGGCCGGGGGAGCACTCTCCCAATCAAATCCTTCTCTCCCCCCCTCCTCCGAGCCAGGCACGGAGGAACGTACCTTTAAAACCACTGCTCCTCCCACCCAGCTGGCTGCTTCAGCTCGCAGTATGTAGAGAGCCTGCAGCAGCTCTTACCCAGCAGCTCCCAGGTCTGGTTCAAAGCGTCAGGTGAGCAAGAGCAGCATGCGCTCTGCTCCCACTCCAGCCTGGCGCCCCCTGATGCTGTATTATATGCATATAAGTGTTGACTGCTATATGTGTGTATTACCAATAAATGTGGCATTTTGCCTTTTCCCCCAAAAAGATCCCATGCAGTACTTTTAAGTACAACACAACCATCCCTGCCCCAAAGCCATCCCCCCCATGCACTCACCCCTCCTCCCCCAGAGCAAGGCACCTGCCCAGTGGCCGGGGGAGCACTCTCCCAATCAAATCCTTCTCTCCCCCCCTCCTCCGAGCCAGGCACGGAGGAACGTACCTTTAAAACCACTGCTCCTCCCACCCAGATGGCTGCTTCAGCTTTTACTACAGCTTCTAAAACATGCGCAATTAGCTAAATGATATGTGCTGTTTCAAGCTTAAGTAATGGAAGGGGGAAGAAACACACACAGTCTTTACTATATTTTACTACAATCCCACTCCAGCCCGGCGCCCCCTTCGCTACGCCTCTGCAACCATGAAGTGCTTTCATCAAGACAGGAGGATGGGACTAGAACACGGATCTCAAACTCTTAATCTCCACACCATCCCCGGCCAGAACAAATGCTCAATCCAGCCTGGGAGTCCTAGCAGGCTGCGAGAGGGAAGCTGTCTGTTACCGTTCCCTAAGCCCCGCCCCTTCCCACCATTGCCATGCCCTCTCCTCCGATGGCACTCTGTCCCTGAAGATGCAGCCTTAGGTATTACTGGTAGGACCAGGTCTGCTGCAGCTGCTCCACTCAGGCCCTACTCCTGCATTCCCCATGGAGGTGGGAGCCACGGGGAAGCAGAGCACAAGGAAGCGAGTGCACCTACTGAGTATATTCTGCTTCCTTGCGACGCCTCCTGCTGTGGGAGGGGAGAGGGCAACCACTGTTGTTGCACTGCAGCAGGCCTTCCCAGTGATCTCTGAAGCCATGTCCTTGGGGGATGGGGTGCCATGGGGGGAGTGGAGCGATGGCAGGAAGGGGTAGAACTTAACAGCCCCTCCCCTGAACTAGAGTGTCCTTCAAATTAAGCAGAAAATTGAATCCTGTTCCATCACCCACAGATTAAGCATCTGTGACCTCCAGGCTTGCTAGCTGCTATTCATTATGGCTATGTCTACATAATAGTTTTCTGCCGGAAGAGGCAATGCAAATGAAGCGCTGATTAACATATTGTCACACTTCATTTGCATAATCTCCTCTGATGCTTTTTGCTCAAGGGGTTTTTGCACAAAAACAAGCAGTGTGGAAGTTTCCTTTTTGCACAAAAAAACCGTTTTTACGCAAGATCCTTATCCCTCTCCCAGGATAAGATCACAGAAGTCCATCTGCTTATCACTACAGCCCATTGAACACTTAATCCTGGGATTCTAGTCTCTTCAATAGCTCTCTTGAATGGAGAATTTAGTTCAAGGCCTTTCTCCTGATATTCAAAGCTCTCATGTTGAGTACTTGTCTCTCCCCAGACCCGCTGACAGAGAAGGGCAAAAGGGGCAGTTGCCTCAGGATCTGGTGATTCAAAGGGGTCAGGGTCTCCTGGCTGCCACTGCTGCTATTGAGGCAGTGGCTGGAACCTGGAGCTCTCTAAATTGCCACTGAAGCGCCACTCTGTGTGGTTCTGAGGACTAGGGTAGGGAGTCCAGCACTACGGTCCAGGCAGCACTGAGGGCTGGCTGCCCCAGCCCTGCCTTCCATCTAAGGCCCCATACTTTCTTGGGTCATGAAGCTACCCCTACACACACCTTGCCTGGGGCATATGGAAGCTATTGCCCCTCCTCCCCCGTCTCTCCCTTTACAAATATGACCTCTCAACAACTTTCTCCAAATATAATCAAACTGTTGCCTAGTAAAGGAAAGGCTTCTGAGTCCAGGAGATGGAATGGTGCTGGACCTAGATTGTAGAAAATCACAAACAGAAGAGATGGGAATGACTAGAACTATTCAGAACTAAAAGCAAAATTAATCTTTTCCCCCCCCCCCCCCCAACTGTACTCACATGCAGATACACCAGCACCAACAAGTAAACAAAAACCTTCACTAATCAATGTAGTTCTCTTTCATGTTAGGAAAGATGATTATATTTGTTTTTAAATACCTAACTGGTGGTTGGGTGTTGTGTTAATAGAGGCTACAGAAGTACCTAGATAAAGCACTATAAAAATGTAATATCTTACCTAGCTTTGTTTCTTTCTTCAGAACCAGGAGTAACAGCAGGTGGAGTTGAAGGGACCAAAACATGTTTGCGTTTCCTGTGAGAAAGAAACAAAGGCAGGAGAAATATGGATTGAGTAAAGTATATGCTAAGAGGCCACGCCTATCTCTGTTCCTCACTATCTAAGGAAAGATGAATAGCAGCAGGAAGTGCTACTCTGTTGCTAGTGTAACCTTGGGTGGGCTAGACTTCACTTCATTGCCCTTTTCCAGTGCCTTAAAAAACTCAACTCCCATAGAAAAGTAGCTGGAGACCCAGAATTCAGTCTCAAAGGATTTTCAGTAAGGATTGCTGCACCCAGTCAACCTCCCCACATTCAAGTACCAAAAAGAACTAAAGAAATGAATTTAAATAAATAACTTTATAAAGTCTTATGATGAAAAAACAAAGTCTAGTTTTTACCTAATATGCTATTTCATAACCCATAGACATTATCTTCACAGTTACAATAAACATAAAGAGAAAACCAAAATTAAAATTTGAACAGTTCAGTCCACACAAAATACAGGCTATGTCTACACTACAGAGTTTTTCAGAAAAACAGCTGTTTTGCTGAAAAAACACGCAGTGTCACACCTCAAACGTGTTCGAAATAACACAGAGCTCTTTCGCCACAAGGAGTGTATGAACAGGGAAGAGGGATTTTTTTGCGCAAAAAGAGGAAAAAGCACAGGTGCCCTGGTGGCCATTCTGTGCATAGCAATCAGAGCTTACTTTTGAGAGAGCGTCCATGCAGTCTGGACACTGTCTTTCGCAAAAGCTCATAGTTTTTTCTATGCGCTTTTGCACTGTGAACGTGCTCTTGCACAAGAAGTTTTTGCAGAAGATCTCTTCCGATAAAAGCTTCTTGTGCAAGTAGCCTGCAGTCTAGATGTAGCCACAATAAGAAACTGAGAGCTCTCAAAGCTTAGGTTTAATTCACATAAGTCTCAGTTAGTATCTTTGATCTCCAAATCTGCATAGTTTGCTGAGTCTGAATCATCTTCCCTCCCACCACTTGCTTGTAGAATCTTCAGTTGTAATCCATACAGACTCTTCCTCTGCTGTGGATCACTGCTAGACAATCAGCTAACTGATTGATTTGTTACTCAATTCACAAAATTAATTTTAAAGAAAACTTCAGTTAACGACAACAGCCCGCTTTCTGGTTCTGAGCTCAATTTCTCCTAACTCACATAGGCCAGTGGTTCCCAACCTTTTTGATACTGGGGACCAGCAAGTCCATTCACAAACTTTTGGCGACTGGTAACATTGTATTTGCATATTCATTATGCAAATGATGAATATGCAACTAAAACGTTACTGGTCTGCCAAAAGCACAGCCCTCACAATCCCCAGTGCCAGCCCTACCCTCTAGAGCCCCCCACCTCTCCACTACCCCCCAGTGCCAGCCACTGACTCCAGAGTCCCCTGAACCCAACCCCGAGAGCCTCTCCCAGTGCTTGCCTCCCTCCCCTAGCCCTGCGCTGCCTCCCAGATGCCAGTTAAGCACTGCTGCCTGGGTCATGGCTGCTCTAAGGGGCTGTGTCTACACTGGGCCACTTATTCCGGAAAATCAGCCGCTTTTCCAGAAGTGCCAGCCACCAATATTAGCCCCATCCCCAGAACCCCCCAGTCCCAGCCCTGCTTCCACAGCCCCCCACTGCTACTAGCTCAGCCTCCAGAATCCCCCAGCACTAGCCCCCTGCCCCTGAAGCCCCCAGTGCCTGCCCCAGCTAAACTTGCTTGCTGCCTGCATCATGGCAGCTCTGGGGGCCAGGGCTGGGGTATACCACCCAGTGCCTTCCCTTCTCATTCAACCAGGGCCTGATCGGGCAGGGTCTCGTCTGGCCTCAGAAGAGTGCTTTCCTGCATGGAAGGAAGCCGCACACCACAGGGTCTCCTCCCAGTTGCAGAAGAGAACTCCCCTGCACAGTGGGAGGGCTGTGTGGAAGCACTCTTCCGCAGCTGGGCAGAGACCTCCATCCCTGCCGTGGTGCTGGTTGGCTGAGAGGCTGGGAAGGACAGATCTCTCCCAACAGCTGTGGTGAGAACAGTATACCCCAGCCCGGCCCCCAGAGCCACTGTGGCCCAGCAGCCAGAGGTCCATGTCCTGGCAGCGGGCTGTGACTCGGTGGTTGGGAACCGCTGACATAGGGCACATGTCCTGACTGCTTGCCCTCATGGAGCTTGACCCCAGCAAGACAGAGAACCAATTGGAGCAGACACCAAAACTGTAACACCCAACTCTAGATGCTTCTGGGTGTAAGTGCTAAATTGCCTAGCAACAATGACCCAGACACAACTGACTCCTACCTCCCCACCATGGGTCTTTTAAAGAGATGTCTGCCTATTAGGACACTTGTGCATTCTGTTTTTTAATTTAATTTAGACAGTGGAATTTCTGTTTTGCTGCTACAGTGAAGAGGGAATCAGATGCAGAAATGCAGAGTTCAGGAGTAAAGTACAGCGAGTTTCTGCTGTGCAGCTTAGCTCTAATCACATACGGGGAACAGCTGTCCAACTTTTTATGTATAGAGCTTAGATTAATTATCCTCCCATTTAGCCTCTTTGGACATTAATTCACTTTCTGACTTAAGTGACTGTGACTCAATGATTAGCTCATCAAGTTCACTCCCCCTCTGATTCACAGGGAACAAACAGAATCCCCTAGAAGATGTTAAAGTTAATATTAAGCTTATCTTAGTCAAAAACAACAGGAAACAAAGTTTAAATGACAGATTCCAATTCTAGTTTGTGGGCAAAACATGAAAAGTAAATAGAACATAGTGTTTTCCCCAAATTAAATGCATTAATTGGACATTCCCTACAAAATTCTGCTATATGTAAGATTATTACATGTGAACACACTTCTAATAGAGCATCCAACCATATCCCTGCTATTGCTGTTTTTTTGGGTTTCTTTTGTCATCAGTTTCTCTATCAGCTTGGACAATGAAATGAGACTGATCAATATCTCTTTTTAGTTACCATACACACACAGCATGGTTTCAGTTTCCAGTTTGTGAATCAAGTTTTCAAAGAGATTTCAAAAACTATGGTCACAAATTCTGCAAGCAAATAGCAACATGAGCTATATTGTGAGCTCAATTTTAATGACCATTTTTTTTTAAATGTCAACACATTTTCAACCTTTTTATGACTGTGCAGATTGCTTTGTTTGCAATAAAGACATATTTCATTCTGTGTATGGGACATTCTGTCATTAATTGGATAAATGATCTCATTACAATCACTTGCTAAACAGGAAACAGTTATTCACTGTGAATAAAATTAATTTAATTGCATTGGTTCATGACAGCAGATCTCAAGACTGTAAGCCAAGACCCTTTTTTAATTAGATCTCCAGGACTGACTTAGATTTGCTGGGGCTCAGGCCAAAGCCTGAGCCTTACTCTATGGAAGGCTAAAGTCCAATCTGATGGCTTCAGTCCTGAGCAGCAGGGTCAGATTGCAGGCTCCTGGCCTGGATCTGAAACCCTTTGGCTCTGTCCTACTCCCTGGGGTGGTGGGGCATTGGCTTTCCCCTCTCCCCAGTAGTAATTTTTGTTGTCAGAAGAGGGTCAGAGTGCTATGAAGATTGAGAATTCTTGTACTAGGACCACTCCGTGTCCTCTTAACCACTACTGCTACTTTTCTTCCTCTTCAGAGGTTCGAAAATTGCACCTCAAGACAGAGTAGCTCATCCTAGAGTCAGATTAAAATTAGCCAAGATTCCCTTCTCCAAACTAAGATGGAATATCTTTCCTTCAGCCTACACAAGTACTGGTCAGCACAGGATCAGCCTTAGCTGCAGAATGGGGTATTCAAGCAATCACCCTGGATTCCACAACAGGAAGAGCTCTGTGTCCAACTACTACCATAGAAAAAGCATTACCGTCGCTCCATGCCATTCATTCTTGCAAAGAGTAATCTGAGAACACATTCCTTCTGCTCCCATGTCAACTGGCCAATATCCACCTTCCCTTGCTGGATATTTGTCCTGTAAAACACCATCAGAGTGTAGATCAATGTAGTAGGAGAATAAGATCAAAGAAAATGTTATCATCCAGCATAAAATATCTCTGGCCAATGGATGCGCAAAAAGGATTTTCAGTCATAACCTGAATTCCCTGAGTTTCATTCAGCTGGTATATATGTAAGCACAAAAGAATCCTGCATTTGCAGGAGATGGACTATACACCTTGATCAATCTTCCCCACCTATTTAAATTCCACAGCTTTCTAAATTGTCAGATGGGCTAATCAGTTGAGAAAATCTGATATCTTGTCTCTGACAGTTGCCAGATATTCCAGAAAAAGATACAAGAAACCCCATGGTGGATAGTTATGGAATAACCTGTTTCTGGGGACAGTTTCCTTCTAAGCCCCCATAAATTAGAGAATAGTTTCTATTCTGAAGTATGAGGGTTTATAGCCTCTTTTTTAAAAAAAAATATTCAATATAACTGTGAATGTTTTCATTATAATATAAATATCTAGTCCTTTTAAAAATCCTTTGAAGTCTTCACCTTAATTATACATTTTGGTAGTGAGTTTTGCAAATTATGTGTCGGGCAAGAAAACCATTATTTTTATCTCTTTTAAATACATTATCTGTCCCCTTGTTTTCATACTGTGAGAAGGTAAATAGAAGCACCTTATTTACTTTCTCTACATTACTTATCATAGACCTCTACCATTTCTCCTCTTACTCATACTCTCGGCAGAAAAAAAAAACCTCCTGGTCTTTTTCATATCTCTTTGTATGGAAGTCTCTCTCTAATCACTTCCATCTATAGGTGTTGAACTCTCCCTATTTTTGCTATAATCTTTTTGAGGTAGGTTGATTAGAATTGAATACAGTATTGCAGGTGAGAGCATACCACTGATTTATACATAGCAATATGATATCCTCTTTATCCCAGTCTTTTTTTCATTCTAACATTTTGTTTGCCCACTTAGCAGAGGTTTTAATCAGGAATAAAATAGAGCCTTTCACCCACTGTGTTACTGAATTTGATAATATACTACATTTATTTTAATGAAGTTGTCTCTTTTTCTGTTTTCAATAGGCCACAGATTTTTGTATTGACAATGAAGAACTGTATTTGAGAAGATGTAAAAGGAGATGTGTAGCTGAGGCTTTTGGCTCACAGGGAAAGACACAGGAGACAGAGGTTGTGAGAAAACCATATTAAAATGATCAGCACGCAATAAATAATAGTGCTGGCATTTAGCTGACATATTTAGGTGTCAGTGATAATTTATCACTTCTATTGTGTTCTGCCGGGTCTTCAGCAGCAGACGGTCCTGAAACTCTCTAAACTGCTGGGTCTGCAGCCTTCTCTCCAGTGCTGAACTCCTTTCCTTCCCTCCCGCCCACCACAGTAGCCTCCAAAGAGATTACTAATCTGGGTACTGTTACTACACAGTGATTTTTAAGATTTAGGTTTCATTCCTGTGAGCCAGGGAGATGGACAGTAAATGGTCTGCTGTTTAATTACTAGTACCATTTCTCTGCCTCCTGCAGGTCCTTGTACACACTATTTGTGCTGTGAGCATTGCTGTTAAATGTTCTGATTTTTGGGTACTCTTCCTTCCCTGCAAACGCTTCCATCATTTTCTTCTGATAGGCAGCTTGGGCCACCTGCTTGTAGCACTTTCTGCTGGACAGGATCTCACGTTTCACTTGTTCCAGAGCTTCTAGGAAGAAAATTTCCACCTCACTCCTCTCATCCAGGATGTTCTTGGCCAGTTTCTTCACTCGATTCATCTCCCGATCCTTCATTTCCAGCAGCTGCTGCAGCTTGTTGATCTCTACCATGCCTGCCTGATTTTGAACTAAGGCCTGATGCTGTGTCTTCTGAATTTCTGTTTCAAATTCTTGAGTCATATGACCTAGTGCCATCTCCAGTCTCTCCACTTTATGCTGCAATGTTTGGATCTGGGCTTTTTGTACAGTGACTTGCCGGACCTTTTCCTGAACCAAACTCTCATTTGTTTCCTAAAGGACAGGAGAAAATTATTTGGACTCTCATCTTAATCACCCTGAACCTCAGACTTCTTTCAGTAGTAACAGCACATGGGTCACATCAGCCTGGCAGACATTCTGGCACTTCCATGCTAGAAAGTGTGCAATAATCTGGGCTCTGGGCTCTGCCTCCAACTGAGACAAAATGAAGAGTGTCTGATCTGCACAATTCCCATTGTACACACTGAACTCTTCTTAGAGGGGCACCATAGGAAACATTTTCTATTCCACAGTCAAAAGGACAGAATAAGAGCCTCATGTCTCTTAAGACAGCTCTAAATTACAGTAAATTGTGGATGGGTTTGACTGGAAAGGCACTTAATGAACTTAAATCTGTATTCAGAATTTGTATTTTAGGGGTCCCTTCCTAGGGAAGAATGAAATAGAATTAGGAATCAAAGCAGGAACCTTCTCCTGCAGAAGAAAAGCATTGTCCTCTTCCAGCTGTTTCTTTATTTTTTGTAGCTCTTCAGTCTCCTTCAGGTGATAAGCAAGAGCCTCCTGAAGACGAACATTCTCTTTAAACACTGCTCTCCCAGTGTTGTCTAACTGCCTAAAGAAGAACAAAATACAAGAGGTGACATCAGAACCTTTTAGGTCTTCCTGTATTAATATCAATACCCTAATTTCACAGAAAAAATATTTCATGGCACTTTCACTGAAACAGTTTTGTTTCCAGCTTCAGGGCTGGACAAGAACGGGGGTGGGCACAGATGTTTCACTGAGAAAGCATTTGCTGAGTTTCTGGGCTGAAGCCAAAATTAATTTTATGGTAGAGATGTCAGGATAGCGATGGTCCCTGCATTTAAACTGTGAAAGTAAAAGATGCAACCAAAGGCCCTTACCCATTTCCCCACAAATATTGTACAGTGGTGTTGGCTGCCTAGTAGTTATTTGTAAGTCCAAGAGTGACAATGGCTTTCTGACTCCTCATTGTAACTGGAGAACAGATAAGGCCAATGACTTACACAACGGCCTCATGGTGGGCTCTCTCTGCCAACATTACTATCTTCTTCTCAGCTTCTCTTTCTAGTCGTTGCTGAAGGGGAGAAAAGGCTGCTTAAATAAATAAAGACAGACTGTGTAGTACTAAAGAAAAAAATCAGACAAAATCCATGTTTCTAAAAATCACACACCTGGGATTAAACTGGCCACCGAAACAACTCTTTATTCTAGAGGAAAAGAGGGAGTGAGCAGCAACATTGATTCCTTTGGGGCACTAAAACCACTTCCCTGTGGGAGTGGGAATCCAGCAATGACATGGCCCTTCAGAGATTCTGATGACTCTGATTTTTCCTGAAAAGTTGCACCCAATTGCAATATCTTACTTTTTCTTTTTTTTAACAAACGCCGTTATAAAATGTTCATCAAAAATAGCCAAAGCAACTCAGATCTTGGCCAAGGGGAAAGCCACATTGTTCAAATATGAGATTCCTAAATATTTTGTAATATATTCCTAAATATTTTGTACCTTTTCTTCCATGAACCTGTTCTCTAGCCTTCCCAGAGTCTCCTGATGTTCCTTGTTTGAAATTCGCATATTTTCTTTGATCTATGATTTAAAAAAAAAAAAAAAAACCTTTAACAATGGTGCTATATTTCAACCTTCCTGATAAAAGTATAGCTGAAACTCTCTGCACAGCAACTCCCAGTTTTTATCTTGCTCATCTCATGCTCTCATTGGCCCCTAACATAATCTCTGTCTCTTCTCTTACCTCTCTTTAGTCATGTTACACTTTTCTTTCATGGTTTACCAGCTTTCCTAATTTTAAATATTTGAAAAGCTTCATTAGCATACTTTCCATTAGTCTGTTAATATACAGAACATGGCATAGACTCTTGTAAAACTCTTCCCAGTCTCACACTATTAGTTATACTCCCTCTATTCAAATAATCATCTGTGCTATTCAAAACTCTGTGCCCTAATATTTTTTAGAAAAATTTTGCAGAAAGGTATTTCGTATCTTACTTCTGAACATTAATTTATTATTTGTATTACCACACCAAAGAGATTCCAGTTATGGATCAGGGCCCCATTGTGCAAGGCACTATTTAAACACATAGCAAATGATAGCCTTTGCCCTAAATAGTTTACAATGTAAGTGATTTACTTATGCCAAGAGATAAGATAGTCACTGCATTTTATCTGCCTGTTGATATGGTTATTGAGAAATCATGTTATAACTTTTATAAACCCTATGGTACTTATAGCCCAAATACTAAGTCTTCTGTACATATTCTTAAAGGAGGTGTAAGCCCCTTCTGATATATAAAATGAGTGGATCCCAGACCCTATAATCCTTGCTTAGTGCAGAAGAGCCTGAGTCAAATGTTAGCAAGCCAAGTGCTCTGTAAACCGCTTTGAGATCTATGGATTAAAATCACTAGGGATGTTATTTGATTAGTCTATAAGGGAGCCTCACCTTTGAAGTGTAGCAACAGCCCCAGAGTCCCCAGCTGGTCCCTTACTCCCTGCGGCATTTCAAAGTGTCAGAACTACGTGGAGCCTGGGGTCCTCTACGGACTTCCCTGCTGCCCCGGCTCTATGCAGTGCTGCCACTTTGACATGTCGCAGGGAGCTTCACACAGCGTTTCAAAGCAGCAGCACCATTTGGAACCCGGGCTCAGTGGGGGAGAACCCAGCTGATCCCAGCTACATTCAGTGCTGCTGCTCTAATGCCTCTCCTCCTCGTCCCCCCCCCCCTTACTGCCTCTTTCTGATAGAGGCAGCAAGGGGAGGGGAAGTAACTAGTCGACTAGTATATCAACTATCTGATAAGATTTTGCTTATTGGACAGTCGACTAGTCTTTCATATCCCTAAAAATCACTAAAAGTACTAGATACTTTATTATATGACTTGGGTTTGGCCCTGTATTTTTCTCAAGATATTTGAAGACTGAACATTTGTTGTATTTGTCCTCAGTACTGAGGCTAGACTAGGCCTTTTAATAGCAATCTGACCATGTTTTGTGCTGGGGAGCAGGAGCAAATGAAGAAGCCACCATTTCACTGAAGTTTGAAATGATTCTCTGTACTAACAAGCCAAGTTAAAACACACTGATTATTTTTAGCTAAAATAGTGCTAACTTCATATGGTTTTCGCCTCCAACCATATCCCAGTTCGGGAACATATATGTCTGACCAATATATTGCTTTCTACATTCACAGTAAGCCTTATTTGCAGTAAACAGTGTAATAAATCAGTCAGATTCATCCATGTTCTTTCCATGTCAGTCACCCACCCCACCATGAAAGTGGCAGAATCACTTCCCATATAATTCATTACAGACTGTGGATCATGTAGTTAGTACCAGTGCAGGTTACCATGTTGAATTAATTTTAATTAGATTAGGTCATTATTGCTTTCAGGACATTAAAACATCCAAAATTAACATGTACGACAAACTTACATCTTCAAGTTCCTTCTCCATCTGTGCTTTCTTCTTGCGAAATTCTTTTATTGTTTTCAGTTCTAACTGAATTAATCCAATTTCTTTGGCTTTTTTGCTGAATTTCTCCTCCAGATCCTTCAACTGCACAGAATAAAGTTCTGCCTGCAAATCAGAAAATCTAATCAAGAAGAGAACAAGTTGTAACTATTCAACAATATTACTGCAAAAAATAGATAGCAAATGAAAATTAAAGACTTGGTGTGCAGAATTTTTAAAAGTCACTAAATTAATGAGACTTAGCACTAGAAGGGAAAGCAACAAGTTAGACAGAATCAAACTACTGGAAAAATAGGAGGCATAGAAAGAAGTGTTATGTTTAGACCTATCTTTGAATATGTCATTTCCCATTATATTCTATTAGAGATGGATGGGCAAGAAGTTCTTGATGAGCTCACCTCATGCAATTTATTGCTTAAGTACGGGGAATAGCAGACTTTTGTAGTCAGGTTTCTGTAAAAAAACTCTGAGTACTACTTGGTGTTCATCTTGATGCCAATAAGACATCCTTCTGTTGTGACCCTACCCACTCTTTATCTATCTAGATATTAGTACTGGTATCAGAGATAGCAAACCACACTCAACAAACTAAAAAGGCCTTGTATAGTCCCCAACCCACTTTTCCTTTGCTGTTTTTTTTCATGCCATGTGTTTATCTCAAAAGCTTTTCTGCATAGCAATTATTTCTATATTGCTCATATTACTAGAACCAAAACCATTGCTCAGCCTGCTATGGAGGCCTCATTTGAAAGGAAAGGGAGCAGTTCACTCACCACTTTCTCATTCTCCTGTTGAGCCTGCTGCTTCAAATCTAGCAGTTGCTGTTTCAGTTTTGAAATCTGCAAAAGATGAAAATAGAGAAACCACTATGATTGAGAAAACTCTCCCCCATTTGTTTACTTCTCTCCCCAAGCCTCTTTCTGGGATCACATCAAGAAAGCTACAGTGACACACAAAAGGTCTCTCATTTGTAGGATTTAAGCTGGCACTGTAGAGGAGGCAGTGTAGGGTTGTGTACACTGGCCCTATGCTGAACCTGTATTGGCAGAATTCCTTGTAGGGACTCTACAGCCCCCATTATGCCACTAGAGTAAAATATGGCACTCCAGAATCTGTCCCCCCACTTTTTGCACTATAAATTTGCAGTTGAGTGTCTTAGGTCTGCTCACTCTCTCTTACTGAAGAAACTTTACAAGTGTCAGCAGGGGACCAGAAAAACACATTCACTGTGACTGATACTGGAGAAACTCGGAACAAAGTTACAGAGATGTAGTAAAAACATGCTAGGTCTCATCAGTATATGTGCATCTGGCGTTGACTTCTCATATTTAAATATGGCCTGCAGGTGTCAGAAGGTGATGACTATTCCTGCTCCTGCACAAGGTTACCTAATGCAGGAAAGATAACTCACTAACACTGTACAAATGCTTTATTATTTGGGCAACTCTAGAAAACTGTAGCAAACTTGCCCTTAGAAAATTACAGCTTGCTGTGGTGAAAATGGTCCAGCTGCAAACTGCAAACGTGCTTATCATCTATGCCGAGCACCCTTTTTTGGATGTGTGCAGCATACTCATCTGTTTACAGCATGCGCCAAAAGCATAGGGGGAATGGTAGATTGTTGCACCTTTCCCACAATGCCTGGCACAGCTGCGTGGAGCAGGTGTGGAATATCTGTGGTATATAGGAGATGATACTGCCTGTGAGCTATTTTTGATTTGTTCCATCAAATGCTTCAAAAGGCTCTATGCTGCATTACAAGCTGCGTGTACACCATGGACAGCAGGTTCTGTGGTCACTGCACATTTGCAGATGACATATTGAACAGTCTGCATCTCCTCTCTGAACCTGCCAATAAGACACTTGTGGACCTAAAGGCTGCTATATTGTAGGATGAGCATCTCCACCTTCGGTGTGGACACTCAGAGTGCATGGAGTGGTGGATAGGTTCCGGTCTCTGCACATACCTGCTCTTCTTTCTCCAAATCCTGCTTCTTGAGAAAGCTGATCACCTCAACTGTGTCCTTCTCCAGGCGGTGCTGCTGCCATGACAGCTCCTCATTGTTCCTGGCCAGCACGCGTGCAGCCTCACGATACTCGGCCCGGGAGATCTCGGTCACCTCTAGCCGGGCTTCCCATAGTGCTGTGTTGGCCTTGGCCCGCTCAGCCACAGACTCCCTATCCACTTTCGAGTCAGCCTTGGGCCCCTTTTTTGCCCTGTTTGGAAAAGCTGAGGCATGTGGGTTAAAGATCCTTGAAACTCCCACCCCACTGGGACACTGTGGAAAAGGTCTCCCTCTACCCTTCCCCCACACTGCCTGCTTATATGCCCCCTTCCCTCCCTAATCGCCCACCTCCCCCGCTTCTGCCCTTCGCCCCACCGCCTGGTTCCCTGCCCCCTTCCCTCCCTATTGCCCCCACTCCGCACTTCCCCTCCCCTGCCCCGTTTCCCTGGTTACCGGTCCCCTCATCTCTCCACTTCCCTCGACAGGCAGTTACCTGCCCCGCTTCGCGCCTTTCCCCTTCCGCATCTTGGCCCCGGCCGAGAGTCACGGGCGTCGAGTCGCAGCCCGGATCGGTCTCTTGAGACAAGAGCTCGCAGCGATCTGTTGCTATGGTCGCGAGCGCACCGGCGAGGCGGTGAGTGCCGACCACGGGAGCGCGCGGGGCGCGTGACAGCGCCCCCACTCCAGAGCCGGGAGCCCTCCCTTGTCCCCTGCGCGGGCCCCGAGCCGGCCTTGCTCCCCCACAGAGACGTCGGCTCCCTCCGCTCCCATCGACCCAGCCCTTCCCGGTGCTGGGGTACTAGCCTTATCCCAGAGTTGTCTGGGGCTGGAGGCTTTGAAGTAAAAACAGAGCCACGGGCTCATAGCTTCTGGCCCCTGCTACCGTGTTGCCTGGCAGGTGCTCAGGTTGCTTGGTGCAGGCGGGGTGGTGGGGGAGACAGAGGCACAGTGCGGGACCCAGCATGAGCTGGGACTGAAGTAGCTCTTACTACATTTAAACAGCAGAGGTGCAGTGGTCTGGTCCTGGTGCAAGCTGGGACTGAAGCAGTCCCTGCTCACACTGGATCATGGACAGCAGTTGCTGTTTCAGTTTTGAAATCTGCAAAAGATGAAAATAGAGAAACCACTATGATTGAGAAAACTCTCCCCCATTTGTTTACTTCTCTCCCCAAGCCTCTTTCTGGGATCACATCAAGAAAGCTACAGTGACACACAAAAGGTCTCTCATTTGTAGGATTTAAGCTGGCACTGTAGAGGAGGCAGTGTAGGGTTGTGTACACTGGCCCTATGCTGAACCTGTATTGGCAGAATTCCTTGTAGGGACTCTACAGCCCCCATTATGCCACTAGAGTAACATATGGCACTCCAGAATCTGTCCCCCCACTTTTTGCACTATAAATTTGCAGTTGAGTGTCTTAGGTCTGCTCACTCTCTCTTACTGAAGAAACTTTACAAGTGTCAGCAGGGGACCAGAAAAACACATTCACTGTGACTGATACTGGAGAAACTCGGAAAAAAGTTACAGAGATGTAGTAAAAACATGCTAGGTCTCATCAGTATATGTGCATCTGGCTTTGACTTCTCATATTTAAATATGGCCTGCAGGTGTCAGAAGGTGATGACTATTCCTGCTCCTGCACATGCAAACTGCAAACGTGCTCAGGTGATGACTATTCCTGCTCCTGCACAAGGTTACCTAATGCAGGAAAGATAACTCACTAACACTGTACAAATGCTTTATTATTTGGGCAACTCTAGAAAACTGTAGCAAACTTGCCCTTAGAAAATTACAGCTTGCTGTGGTGAAAATGGTCCAGCTGCAAACTGCAAACGTGCTTATCATCTATGCCGAGCACCCTTTTTTGGATGTGTGCAGCATACTCATCTGTTTACAGCATGCGCCAAAAGCATAGGGGGAATGGTAGATTGTTGCACCTTTCCCACAATGCCTGGCACAGCTGCGTGGAGCAGGTGTGGAATATCTGTGGTATATAGGAGATGATACTGCCTGTGAGCTATTTTTGATTTGTTCCATCAAATGCTTCAAAAGGCTCTATGCTGCATTACAAGCTGCGTGTACACCATGGACAGCAGGTTCTGTGGTCACTGCACATTTGCAGATGACATATTGAACAGTCTGCATCTCCTCTCTGAACCTGCCAATAAGACACTTGTGGACCTAAAGGCTGCTATATTGTAGGATGAGCATCTCCACCTTCGGTGTGGACACTCAGAGTGCATGGAGTGGTGGATAGGTTCCGGTCTCTGCACATACCTGCTCTTCTTTCTCCAAATCCTGCTTCTTGAGAAAGCTGATCACCTCAACTGTGTCCTTCTCCAGGCGGTGCTGCTGCCATGACAGCTCCTCATTGTTCCTGGCCAGCACGCGTGCAGCCTCACGATACTCGGCCCGGGAGATCTCGGTCACCTCTAGCCGGGCTTCCCATAGTGCTGTGTTGGCCTTGGCCCGCTCAGCCACAGACTCCCTATCCACTTTCGAGTCAGCCTTGGGCCCCTTTTTTGCCCTGTTTGGAAAAGCTGAGGCATGTGGGTTAAAGATCCTTGAAACTCCCACCCCACTGGGACACTGTGGAAAAGGTCTCCCTCTACCCTTCCCCCACACTGCCTGCTTATATGCCCCCTTCCCTCCCTAATCGCCCACCTCCCCCGCTTCTGCCCTTCGCCCCACCGCCTGGTTCCCTGCCCCCTTCCCTCCCTATTGCCCCCACTCCGCACTTCCCCTCCCCTGCCCCGTTTCCCTGGTTACCGGTCCCCTCATCTCTCCACTTCCCTCGACAGGCAGTTACCTGCCCCGCTTCGCGCCTTTCCCCTTCCGCATCTTGGCCCCGGCCGAGAGTCACGGGCGTCGAGTCGCAGCCCGGATCGGTCTCTTGAGACAAGAGCTCGCAGCGATCTGTTGCTATGGGGACTAGAAGCCAGAAGCTAGTGACGAGTTAACTATGCGTCCGTGACGTCACACGGCGCGCTGACGTGACACGCAGACGAGGTGGTGGCTCTCGAGCGCACCGCCGAGGCGGTGAGTGCCGACCACGGGAGCGCGCGGGGCGCGTGACAGCGCCCCCACTCCAGAGCCGGGAGCCCTCCCTTGTCCCCTGCGCGGGCCCCGAGCCGGCCTTGCTCCCCCACAGAGGCCCCGGCTCCCCCCGCTCCCGAGCC